AAATTTTAAATAATTAATTTGATACTAATATCGATATATTTTTGTCTAATTTTTATGATATCTTCATACTTATATTTTATTCAAAAATAAAAACATCATCGTTTTTTATCAAAATCACAGCATAATACTATATTATAACATCGACTGAGATAAATAATAAAATAAAATATTAAAATCAAGATGTATCTCGCTGCATTGCACGAGTACCCTTCTAGTTATTATTAAATATAACCTAAATATCACAATTTTAATAATGTTTATATAACATAAACCTTGTAGTTATACTTATTTTGTTTCATATATAATATAAATGTGTTAAATAATTTAATTATTAAAAATACCTTTTGAAAAATTATTAATTAATTAAGATATATGAGGTATACCATTTTTATTCTTATTCTATATGTAATGGTTATTTAAAATCATAAATACTAGATTTTTTCTAAAATTCTAATATTACAATACATAATAATCAATTTAAGATTCTTTAAATCAATATATTATTTTTTTTTCCATCTTGTTTGTATTAATTAATATATTATATTATTAAGGATCTTTTTCCATTATAATTTGCAATATTATAATTGATAAAATTTTCAATATATCATTTTTGGTCATTTTACATTCTTATGAACTAGTTTTGCCGAACATGATTTGTTCATCTGTTAGCATATCATCCATCAACTAACTTATCAGCTATAGACTAGTTTATTAACTATTCGCCAAACATAGCCTTAATATAGCATTATCTCAAATGTATGGTATGTTAGGAATTGCATTTCTTCTAATTTTACCCCCGAGTCCTAAGCTCCCTTAATATGTCTTAATTTCACTTGCTTTATGTCTCATCATACGAACTTTCTCCTCTCACTAATTTATAATCATTTAGGAACTACTTAAGATGATATATATTCCCAAATTTTACAAGCTTATGGATCTTGAAAAACTAAAAATCTTCAAAAAAAAATCTCGATCTAAATAACGAGCCGAGAGTTATAACCCCAGAAGTTTAATATGAAAAAAGCTTACAAAATTGTTTACGATATGTTTATGTTGAGTTTACGAACCGGTTAAGACGATCTATATATCTAGATTTTATAAACTTGAACATTATGATAAAATAAGCAATCGCAAAAAACAATCATCACCAATCGAAGTTACGAGTCGAGAATTGATACATCCCAAAATTCACTAAGAAAACGGTTATGGCATTGTTCCTAATTTGTTTGCAAAATATTTACGATGAGTATACAAACTGGTTATGATGATCAAGATTTTCAAATTTTACGAGCTTCTAGATTAATGACAAAATAACCAATTTGAAAAAAAAAATCATCACAATTTGAGTTACGAAATTAAAAATTATTGTCCCCCAAAGTTCATGAAGAAAATGGCTACGAAATCATTTACGAACCAATACTGATGACCTAGATTTCAAAAATTTACCGACATGTATCGTAATTGTATGGAATGTCCTACTCATGCGGTCCTGCCCGAGCTTTCCAATCAACTAATCCCCTATTTCAGGGACAGTAGATCATAAAAGATAAGCAACTAAAAAAATTCGTCTCGATCTAACTCCTAAGTTTGTAGTCAGGAGTTAAGATCCCTCGATATTTACAAAGAAAATGGTTATGGCCACGAAATTATTTACGGTTAGTTTATAAACTGATTATAGTGACCGTGATTCCTAAGTCTTATGGCTTGTATATAATCATCAGTATACATATTCCATTCTTGTGATCAAATTCAAATTTTGAAGAAACCATAGGGACCACCAAATAACAATGTAATTCACTCTAAAATCAATCTATCATTTTTCAAAGGAGAATTTTATTTTAAATTTGACGTATAAAAAATGTTTTTGGTTTTCCCTTAAAAAGGAGAAAAGACATCACGTTACTACGTTTCAAAATTTAGCAGAAAAGAACAACGTAGTTTTAATATTTGAGTTTTTGCCCCAAACTATTTGAAATGGACTTTAGATTTAAAAATGGTAGTTGCAAATGGAGCAACCAATATGTTCGGAGTTACTACGTGTTGAAGAGACTTAATGTTCTGGGTCTTGCTAAAGAGAACCCAACCAATCGACTTGAATTATTGTATCACGAATGTCTGGCATGGCATTATTTTAGAAGAAAGTAACCATAAACAGTTGTTCCAAACTTATAGGAAATTGATACACTAAAAGGAAAGTATTAGGGCCTCAAACCACACGCGAGTTTACGTGTCTTTCTTTACCTGTTGCATGCAAATATATCTATGAGTCCTTTATTGCAGCGTTATTCATGTATTGTTATGTCAATATATTATGATTCGATGGAAATGAAGATGTTATGATTGTATGTTTGTGCTCAAAATTTCTCTTGTTGGTACTATGTCAAGAGTCATTGACTCATAGAATGGGAGTCAGGTTCCATGGTATTATAATGGTTTATATGGGAGATGTCATCAGAATAAGACAAGTGTGTCTTGCAAGAAAATGTTATTCGTATGATCATCAAAAGAGGATTAGGTAGTGTAGGCAACGTCGTTACTGAAAAGCTGGTGGGACATGCTGCTAGATATGAGAAGGACGGAAACAATAGCAAGGATGACATAGGAAGAGTTTTAAGGTATTATACAGAAAGAAGGTCAACCTATGCCATGTTATAAGGCAGTTAGAAGAAGAATTCCTAAGATTGGAGCAAGGATTCATGAATTTACAAAGAAAGCAATATTTTCTAGCATCAAGGATGAGATATTTGGAGCTGAGTGATACATTTGGGGTATGAAAGACCATCATATGGAATTCATTGTGACTATGGGCCGGATGACATCCGAACAACAATAGATGCAGCATAGATGAGAGAGAGGTAAAAGAATTGCAAGGACAAGGAACGAAGTGACATGAAAACGAAGATGGAAGATAACGAACATTGTTCAAATAATTTAGATACCAACAATAACGGTAAAGACGACAAGAAGATGGAAACAATGGTACATATAAGTTTTTTGTAAAACAAAATCAGTGACATACAGGAGAGTGTAGATTGGGGAAGGTTGTTTGTGATGCTTGTGGGAAACCAAGTCATAGCACAAACGAGTGTAGGGTAAACAAGCGTCATTGCTATCACCATCAAGAATTAGGATATACTTCTCATAATTGCGAAAATGAAAAGATAATAAAGTAGTCGACAAAGCAGAGGGGAACGGAAAGATGTACCGAGACTCAACAAAGAGTCTTCCAAATGATAGTTGAGCAGATAAATTTTTTTTAATATCATGAAAGGTGCTACCGTGCCATTTTGTTGTGTGTGCAACCACATATATTTTAAAACTACAAGGGAACACAAGTTTCCCTATATAGAATTGGTTAGCAAGACTTTCTCGTCATCTCTGGTGCATGTTTGAATCTCATTTGTGTCATTTTTTAGTTTTTAGGTTTTAATCTCAAATGTATTTCGTTTTAAAAACACTTGCTATAAAAGACTCGAATATAAGACCTCACATAAAAAAACAAGAAACTAATTAATACTGATTTTATGAAAAAGTATTCATATCTTCATTTCTTAAAATCAAACTTTGTTGGAAAAAAATTTGGTAAGTTATATATTTAGTCTATACTATATTATAAAGTATTTGACAAAAACTCTTAAAAACAAATTTTTATGTATGAAATATTATTTATTGATACATATTACTTAAAATTCAATTGTACAAGTAAATTGTGCGTAAGTACAACTTATTAGAACTTTATTTTTGAATTCGTGTAACTAACTGCAAATAAACATAATTAAATACAAGATAAATATTTTATTTTCAATATAAAAAGTTAAAATATAATTARGATAATTATTGAGTTTTAACATAATACTTAATTATCATTCTTATAAAAATTATATTATTAAACAAAAATAAATTACTTTATTATTAAATCTAAATTAAATTATAATAAAAAATTGAATTAAAAATTATATAGAAAACGAGAACTATTAAATAATTAATTTAACACTAATATCGATACCTTTTTTTTTTCAAATTTATACTTTCTTTAAAAATAAAAATATTATCGTTTCATATTATATTAACAAAAAAATAAATAAAATAAAAAATTAAAATCTAAATATATCTCGTTTTATTTTATTATGCGAATATCTTTATAATAATAACAAACAAATGTGGAAAAGGTTAATCACTATAAGGATTCAATATGTGAAATGATGATGCCATAGTTTTCATGGACAGAAGACAAGGACATGATAATAAAAAAAAACAAGTGTGGTGGTAACTTCAATAATTGCAATATATTTCACAAATCATAATTTATTTATGGTGGTGAACATATATAATATAATATAATATAAAAAGACTTGTAATTTGTGTATGGTTGCCAAATTTAAGTGTTATTAAATAATCAAAAGGACGGCACAATCTAATAAATTTAGTATTATTAATTAAATACGTCCATCATATATTAATTTAGGGATTTATCACGGTCTTTTTAGATAATACATATAAAGGTTTAAAGAATGCAATACAAGAGAATATGAAAACGATCAAATTTATATGTATAATTTTACATTAATAATCGATAAAAAAAGTGGGAGGTCGACATGGCCAGTGATCTCACATTGCGTGAATCATATATGATTTTACACAAGAATTTAATGTAGAATCACATGTGATTTTACACAAGAATTTAACGTAGAATCACATATGATTTTATACAAGAATTTAATGTAGAATCACTTATGATTTTATACAAAAATTTAATGTAAAATCACATGTGATTAAACCGATTTTTATATACTTATTTGGTTACTATTCTTATATGAATCGGTAAAGGAGGATTTCGAGGTGGCCACGGTGGTAGTGGTGGTTTTCATGTGTGAATTTACACAAAGTCTTCTCATGAAAATCACACCGAACAATAACCACCCTAACTTTCATATAAAGAAAAACACAAAGTAAACATTCAACTTTCACAAGTAATCTCGCCAGAAAACGATGTAATGAATCTAAAGGTAGGCTTCCAATCCACCATGAAAGATATTAACGAAAGCCTCCATCTCCGTAGCCGAAAGGGACACACCGATCTCCAGATCCTCGGTCGATTCTTTGCAGGCACTCAGAGATATCGAATCATTATAATCTATCGAAATCGTTTCGTGCTTTCTCGGTTTCCCCCATCCGAAATCCAAGTCGTAAAAGTGGAGCCTTGGTGTCCCGGCAACCCCGATAATTGTCGTTGGCATGCCTTGCGACAGTAGCTCGTCCAACGGCCCTATATCTTTCACGACTCCATCTTTATCGGTCAAGATCTTATGCAGATTCTCTCCGAGCAATTTAGCAGCAGTCAAGAATCCTTCCTTTCCGTTCATCAAAAGTGCGGTTTTTGCCATCGCGATACACGGCACGACACAGTTCCCGAAATAGGCTGCGGGCAGCGGTGGATCCATACGTGCTCTACAATTTATGGTGAAACCAAATAGTTGTAGCTCATCGTTTCGTGATTTCGCAATGCAACTCCAGAAATAACCACATGCTACAGTAAAAGATGATACATATGCTAATGTTGGCAGTTGGGTAGAAACCCATTTCTTCAATCTATCGATAACAGTTCGTGTCAAGATCAACGTGACACGAACTTTATCGGTTGGTCCTGAAAGGCTCTGAGGTTGATACCCTTCGCAAAAAGTTTCAACCTTTGCGTTCTTTAGATAGCTTTCATCTAGTTTCGGGTAATTCACCACTCGATCAAAAAAAGGCAAAGTTCCATTGGCTAGAAACGACTCGTCTGAACCACATCTAGCGAACGATGTCCATGCCTTCAAGAAATAAAATCGAGTGCTAGCATCAGCAAGGAAATGGTGATTGGTCATTCCGATAGAGATCCCACAGTCAGGAAATAACGTCACTTGAACCGCGAAAACCGGGATTGTTACATGATCGGGTCCTTTAGCAGCTTTTGGCAGTTGAGGTATAAGATGATAAAACTTATCACAGTCTCGAGGATGGTTTCCCGTAAGATCGTTGAACTCAAGAGTACAGTCTGCGACCGTGAGCGCAACCGAGTCACCTTCAAGATAACGGATTTCAGGTTTTCGTGTAGGAGTAGGAAATACGATCAAGTTCCCCGCAAATGGGAAAAAATGTTGAAGGGTGATTGATAAGGATCGTTTAAGATTGGGAATGACAGTTTCAATGAAATGGGTTTTAGTGATGGGGAGGTCATAGAAGAAGAGATGGTGAACTGGATGGAAGGGTAGCCATGAGATGTCGAAGAAAGTCAGTGGCAGCGATCTGTCGTCTACGGTGGCTGGTGGTGGCGATACATCGGACTGTTCAAGAACAGTCAAGATGGGAAGGGAAGCCATGCTATTCAACTTGCGTCAATGTTCCAAAACGAGTGGAGTACGTAATATATAAGGATTAAGGAAAGGTTCCTTGTTTTTGCCGTAGCAGCTTCTTGTTGATTTAAATTAGAGTAAACTACAGACATGGTTTTGACGGATATAACCATTTTTTCTTTCTGTAGATTTCGAAAATAATTTTCAACATATATGTAACACCCTAATTTCACTCATAATATAGATTTGGTTTATAAGCTATTTAATTTTTACGAATCCGGCCTTAATTTTTTATCTATACTATTTTATAAAGTATTTGACAAAAATTCTTAATAACCATTTTTATATATGAAGTACTGTATATTGATGCATATTATTTAAAATTCAAGATTACAAGTAAATTACAAGTTATTAAAGCTCCATGTTTAAATTCGTGTGACTAATTGCGGATAAACATAATCAAATAGAGGATAAACATCTCATTTTAAAATATAAAAGATCTAAATATAATTAGGATAATTATCGAGTTCTAACTAAATAATTAATTATTATCTTTATAAGAAGATTATATATTAAACCAAATATAAATTGCTTCATTATTGAATCTAAATTAAATTATAATAAAAAAATTGAATTAAAAAATTACACAAAAAATAAAAAAATTTAATAGTTAGTTTGATACTAATATTGATATATTTTTGTCAAATTTTTATGATATCTTCAAATTTATATTTTATTCAAAAATAAAACATCATCGCTTTTTTAAAATTACATAAGATCATACTATAACATCGACTGAGATAAAAAATAAAATGAAATATTAAAATCAAAATATATATCGCTGCATTACGCGAGTACCCTTCTAATTTATCATAAAAAAACTCTTTTAGATACATAATTTTTTTTTATGGATTTGGTTCGTGAAGCAAACCACCATTCATTAATTTCTTTAAATTTAAAGGTATTTTTGTCTTTTATCATTTTTCTCCATTTAAATATCTTCTAACTAATTTTCATCTTGTTATTTTCTAGAGTAAACTACAAATTTGGTCCCTGTGGTTTATTGTTTGTAACATTTTTAGTCTTTATAGTTTCGAAATTACAGTTTCGCCACATGGTATATAAAAACGATCGGATTTTGTCACTCCCTTTAACAATCGTTAAAAGAACCCATTAAGTAAGGAGTATTTTAGATTTTTTTTAATTTTCCACACTTTTCTTTTAGAAATAAACTCTAAATAATTTATATTATATTTAATATATATATATATATATAGAGAGAGAGAGAGAGAGAGATATGAGTTATTATGCAACCCTTTATATTTGTACAACTAATACAAGTCAATCTCAACCGTTCATTTAATTTGATGAACATATGTGATTTTATAAAAGTTTTGATTGTTTCCTAATATAAAGTATTGATCATAATTAATGAACTTTAGTCATCTTATATAAATATTCAAATCATAATAAATGAACTCTCATCATTTACGTAAATATCTCAATTAATTGGGTTGCAAAGGTTGTACAAATGCACAAGGTTGTAAAAGAAATATACCCTATATATATGTATTTATGTATGTCTGCAACTTGTATCTTCACCGGAAAATCATCTTCGTCGGAAACTTCATCGACCGGTTCTCATCTCTATTCCCTCCCCTAATATATGTCCACCACACGTGCCCCCCCAAGTTTCACACCCTTTTTCGTACTTCTTTCCATCCTATCTTTTCATATCATCTCGTCGGCCATCTTCAACAACCAAAACCTTCCGTCTAGACCCAATTCTAAACACCAATATCAAAAATCAAACTCATATTCAAATCCAAATCCAAATCCAAATCCAAATCCAAATCCAAATCCAAGCACTATTACGGATCAATCCATATCTCAAGGAAAAGGAAAGTCTACTACACATTCAAATTTCATTTAGTATGTATTTCTATATTTAGTTGATTGATTGTGACTGTGCATTAATTTAGGCAATCATTTATCCTTTATGTTATTGTATTCCCTGTATAAATCCCCATTCTTGTTCAATAATATGAATTACTTATTCTCATATCCTCTATACCATTATATGGTATCAGAGCCTTCAATTTGCTCTCACGAGAAATCGATCCCAGCTTCTCTCTAATCAAAATTCTCATTCTTTGCAACCCAAGAAATGTCAAACACTATCATTCAGATCACATCAACCACTCACTTCCCTATCAAGCTCAATGCAAACAATTTTTCTGTCTGGAAGAAACAGATCCAATCGACACTCATTGGTTTGGATCTTGACAGCTTTATCAATAGGGAACATAAACCTCCACCAAAACTCATCACCGACAAAGATTCAAACAAACCAAACCTAGAATATACACGGTGGTTCCGGCAAGACCAAATCATTCTAAGCGCCATTCTTGGCAGTTGCGTCGATACAATCCAACCCATTTTGTCTTCAGCTGAAACCTCTCGCGAAGCATGGAAACGGCTAACCACCAGTTATGCCAGTACCTCTCACTCTAGAATTATCTCTCTAAAATCCAAACTTGCCAAGAACCCCAAAGGAAACCGATCTGTCGCTGAATTCCTCCACGACATGAAGTCAATTGCTGATGAACTCGCTCTTGTCCACAATCCTGTCGACGAGGAAGACCTGCTTATCCATATTCTCGGCCAACTAGGTGATGAATACAACATTGCTGCCCTAAAGGCTCGTGACACACTTATATCGTATCCCAAACTGTTTGATAATCTAGTTGACTTTGAAAGACAACTAGGCGACACAATGCCTTCCTCTCCTCCAATCATAAGTGTCAACTACACCCCACGAAGCAATGGTAGAACCAATTCCAAAAACCCTCAAGAAATGCAAAACCATCAATCTAGGTTCAACTATTCGGGACGTCAACAGTGGCCCAATTCCACTAATAATTCTGGTGGAAATCACCGAAAACACAGATCAGCTCATTGCCAATTCTGTAATATCCCGGGCCATGAAACCAAAGATTGTCGAAAACTCGCTCGATTCTTACGTGACAACAACGTTACACCACACCGATTCCCAATGCCAGCACTTCCAGACCTACTTCTTCATCCCCAACGTGGATGTTCGATACCGGAGCCTCACATCACTTTACTTCTGACAAATCCTCTCTTTACACACTCTCCGAGTATGGGGGGACCGGATGAAGTTATCCTTGGCGATGGTAAGCCTCTTTCCATATCTCACACTGGTAATGCACAACTATACACTTCCTCACGCCCACTCTCTTTATCTGATGTCTTATATGTTCCAAAACTTTGCAATAACCTTGTCTCGGTTGCTAAACTTTGTCAAACTTTCCCTATCATTTCCTTGTTAAGGATCTCAGCATGGGGGCCCGTCTAATATGGGGGAAGAATCATCTTGACATCTACCATGCCAATCTTCCTTCCACAACACAACTCAACTCCACTACAACCGTCTCGCTTCTTGATTGGCACCACAAACTCGGGCATCCATCCATTATGATTTTTAAATTTCTTGCACAATTCATAGGCCTTAAGTCATAGCTTCAAGATTTTCATTGTCATTCTTGTTCAATTAATAAAAGTCATAAAATACCCTTTGGTATCACTTCATTCACTACTTCAAAACCATTAGAACTTTTATACTCTGATGTGTGGGGACCAATTGAAAAATCCATTGATGGTTTCAATTATTATGTAATTTTTGTGGATTTCTACACCAAATATGTATAGGTATTTCCGATGAAACACAAGTTAGATATCAGAACACTTTTCCCACAGTTTAAAAACTTGGTTAAAAATATTTCCAAACTCCTTTGATCTCCACCTTTACTAACAATGGTGGTGAATATACAGGTCTCATTCCTTATCTACAAACCCATGGCATATCTCACTTTACCACCCCCCGCATACACCAAAACAAAATGGTATCGCTGAAAGACGCCACTGGTTCGGTTATATTTCACACCTCTAGACTTCATGAAATTGGGCCGAAAAGCAAGTATACAATATGGCCCAATGTCGTCTTTCCAAGTAATAAGTGGTACAAGTACCGAGTTATCGTCCACAGGGACTGTAGTCAAAGTTAGATTAGAGTCTAATGAAAGAGATGATTTCAGATGGCGATTTTGAAGACTTTTCTCTGATTTTAATATGATCCAAAACAAATTACAGAATATATAAAAGAAGCAAGGGTGTGAAACTTAAGTTGAGACCCAAACACGAATTCCAGCAGCCAATGCTATAAGAATGCTATAGCAAGCAGTGTTCCGAAACTAAGTTCCACCATCTATTTTAAAGGCATTCCTCTCGGACTTCACCATTTCACTATCTTATAGCTTTCCACCCATATCTCTATGTGGTGTCCGGACCGGGGATAGTGACACAATGGTGTTTTCAAAATATATGGATAAACAAATCCCTTTGTTAAAAATCACTCTCTCGAGCCGATTCCCATATCATTCGAGTTGGCATGTTCTTGATATTTCATCTCTGAATATATCACACTTTGACACTTTTGACAAGCGACCAACCCGTCGGGAGTTACGTTTTGAAAAACATAAATGACAAGTCTCCTTGTCGGCAACTTTCTCAAGTCTACCTCTTATGTCATCTAAGTTGACGTGCTTATTGATGGCTTATCTCTAAGTCCATCGCACTTTAACACTTTCAAGTGATCAACCCATCAAGAAGTGTGCTTGGTTTTATAAAAACTCGAATGAAACAATGGAACGTCGTTTTCAAAAACACTTAGCTACTATCGTTCGGTTTGAAAACTCACATTTTTGTCTCACACCCAAGCTATAAAAGCTTAGCTACTCATAACGGAAAGTAAAAAATAAATGACGGAAAGTAAAGACATAAATGTAAATTGCGTAAARTAAATAACGAGAAARTAAATGACGGGAAARTAWATAACGAKAAAATAAATTGCGAGAACGTAAATGACAAGAAAATAAATTGCGRAAAGTAAATGACGGAATGTAAAWGACAATAATCGTAAAGGAACGTAAAATAAAGAGCGGAAAATG